AAAAAACCCAACACTGAAGTATGGTATATCATATTCTTTTTTGATGATGAAAATTAAAACGACAAAAAAAGCTTCAACCAACACTCGAAAAGTTTCCACAGGGTTGTCCCTAAAATGCATCGCGTAAAAAGAAGAGGAGGGAAAGACGCTTGGAGCGGACACAAGTAGGTATATACTCGAAGAAAAGAGGTTGGCCAGATGACACAATTGCCGCTCGGTGCTACCGGTCGTTTGTTAGCGAAGCGGCTCCCGCTGTATTATTGCTCCTTTGGTAGCCGTGGTGGTGGTCCGCGGCCCAGCGGAGTTGTAATTAATTACCAAAGTAATTATCTGATGATTTAGGAACACGGTCCAGCCAGTCGAGCGGTGAAACTGAAACGAATTACTATTGCACCCGTATCCGAAAACCAACCCCCTCCCGGCAGTGAGAGCTCGGGCTTGGCTCGAGCGACCGAGAGGAGGGGCAGTTTGGGGAAGAGGATCCCGAGGAAAGGACGAAAAGGGGAATTTAGTTTCCACGAGAGGAAGAGGACCGGGGTCCGACGATGAATCATCGACTATGAAACTGTCATTACAAAAAGTTCTTACTTGCAGACGACGCGACTGAGGATGTCGTTGTATACGTATATACGTATGCTCGTACGGGTGGGTCTCGGTGATTCCTTCTCCTGTCTCTGACTTGGTCAAAAAGTGGATAGCCATTGTTACAGCATGTACGCGAAGCAGAGCAGAGACATTGGGCTTGGAGGGATGGAAGCTGTTTTAATTTTTGTTTTCGAAACGTTGTTTCATTGGATCGTTTGAATAAGATTCAGATGCACATATTTGCAAGAGGGACGATTTGCTGGTTCCGGCGAAGGCTCTCTTTCAACACCTCTTTTGTGAAATGGTACTTTTATGGCTAGTTTTTTTTTTCTTTTGTTACAAAAAAAAAATTTTACATGATTAGTCAAACAGAAACATTGGGGTGAGTGTCTTTAAACAGAAAAGTAAAAATTCCGAATGCAAACACATATAAAAACTTGTTAATTAACAACTAGATGAAATTGAATTTTATCAGCTCAAAACTCCGAATGACGTCCAGTGATAATAAATTAAGTATATATCTATGAATATTACTTATCGGAATTTTGATCTATCGGAAATTAAGTCGTCATTTACATGACAAACAGTGTTAGGAAAAAAAGTGATTTGGTTTTTGTTTAGTTGTTAACCGAAGAGCTCTGACTTTGATTCAATTTGAAAATTCAATTTTTCTTACAAAAGACACCCCCAGCCGTCACACGTTGATCTTGATTTTCGGACGAAAAACTTTTTACGTGGATTTCGCAACTTGGACCGAGTGAGTTGATGGGCGCGAGAGCACAGCCATTCTCCTACTCGATCCATAATTTTTCACTCCAAGCCTCGAGTCAAGATTGAGGCATCAGAACCGTCCAGCAAGGGCCGACATTATCCAAAAACTTCCCCCCCCCTCCTCCCAAGTCATTTTCACGGGTAAAATTTTTCTTTCCCCGAGCGAGCTTAAACTCGGGCACAGCTCTAACCCCCCCCCCCCTCATTCATTTTTCCTCACTTTCTCGGTTTTATCGTATTCTTGTACACCCCCTTTCACGTCCCCTTCTCCCACGGAAATAATTCATCCGGGATTTTCCAAAGGTGATGCTCGGAGAAAAAGCGCATACCAAAGTGCCGATGATCTCGTGTACCGGAGAAATAGAATTAATCGCCTGACCCCGCTTTATCTCCACAGATGTGCTGGTGACATCTACTCTCCGCCAACATACATTACCTCGACCCTCTTAAGCACCACGTCATTACTTCGCGGACAACTTCATTGCAAGCTTTAGGCTCCGTCGTATTTTCCATACCCATAAATCTACAATAGGGCACTCGCTATTGTGTGCATCAAATTAATTTTGTTGGTATGATCTTTTGCTAGAGATGCGTCGTGTCTCACGTATCAAAGTCTTATTTTAGTTTTATTAAGAAGCGAAAAAAAAAGAGTCAACACTAAAGACGTGTCGTAAGCAGTGCCAGCTCTGTTACATAGCCACATCATATTTCTCTTTTTTTATGATCGAGATAAAACAGGATAGTAGGTGCAGGGTTGGAAATCATCAAAGGGCAACGAGTACACTCTTATCAATCGAGGATCTACACTTTGGTCCCCCCCTCCAGAAGCGGCAAAGAGGGACGGATACAATAGAGGGCGGATGGGTGGGGAAAGGGGGTTCATTTCCCCAGAGCCGTGTAACGATCGCACGTGAACTTTTGCTCGGTGACGAACATTAACGAAAGCAGCGGAGCAGTCGGGAAGAGGGCGACCGAGCTAATTACTCGTTATCGAGTTTGCCACGAATTAGTGGACAATGGAGAACAAGAGAGAGGGAAGCCGAAGGGACGATTACGAGCTTCCTGCAGTCGGTCGCGTGCGAGAGAGCCGAAACTATTTTGGATCGATGCGTGTGGGGGGGGGGGGGCTCTTATCGGCATGCCGGTGCTATTGTGTCGCGCGGAATCTTAAATAATGGCAGCGCCGGCCTTCTGCCACTGCCCCCCTCCACCTCCTCCCAATGCACTTTCGAATCGCGCAGAGGGACCCTCTCTATCTCGCTCTACTCGTTAATTGAGAGATCAAAGGATGCTGCGGGGCGAGGTTGGGCAGGGTCGTTACTTGGTGTCCCTAGGCGTGCGCCCCTTTGCCGTTTGACAAGGAAATTTTTAATTGCACCACACGATCGATGAGGTTTGCCAGTTTTATTGAAAATGCACCCCCCATCCCACCGACCCCCCACCAACTGGTTCTCGTCTGTTTGGAAAGAAGTTTGCGCGGATCGAGAGGCTTGCTCGGCAAATTAATATTTGAAATTGATTTTACTCACTGCACCGGGAAGGCTATATACATACACATCCACGCTCGCCAGTCGGTTGTGTGTATACTCACCTGGAACAGAAAAGAGATATCAAAGTTAAATTAATGGCTCTCGATAAATAAACGGGTGCCGGGGGTGAGGGGGGTGTCTCTGAGTGAAAATTCGTGTTCGGTTAGCTAAATATTTGGAAAACAACGGGTACGAGGGGCGGTGGGGATGCGCTCCGTGCTCCTCGGTCGCGTTCGGGCGTTATCAAGTTTTAACGAAGTGCCAAAGTTAGTTGGAGAACTTTGGGTGGTGCTGATGTGCTCGGGACGTGCGGTGCAGTTCGCACTCGTAGACCAGTGCAGAAAAATGGGTTCTCGCTTCCTTCCGGCCATTGATTCGAGCGTGACCATTTTTTTCTGATCGGCTTTGAGTTGGGGAAACAAAGGCTGTGGGACTCCGGGTACAAACGAATTTTTTTTTTTTCAATTCACACTTCACCCGAGGCGTGTGGCAAACGGAAGAAATCGTTGTCAAATACGTGTCGTTGTTGCCAGTGTTGCGGTCCTACTTTTAGTTCGGTCACGATAGCATCAAAAAAACGTCTTTTTTAACCAGAATAAAGAGTAAAACCAAGTGTGGATTATCTAATTTTCTTCTCTTTTTGCGTAACACATATTTTTTGTACTTTAGGCGAAATCAGCTCTTACGCGATCAATTTTTGACTTACGCGATACAGATCTTAACAGATTCAAATGTGTTGAATAATTTTGTCGTCACGCCAGATTAAGATTGTATAAACATAGATCTTTTATCAGAGGGAAAAGAATCACCTGAATTTTTACGACTTGTTTGAGACGATTGGTTTGAATCGATCACATTGTTTTTTTTTTTTTTCACGCGGAGAACTTCGTGAGTACGATTTTAAAAACTTATTTGACATGAAATACCAGACAAACTTTGAAATTGTCTGTTTGAATGTTTGAAAGTGACACACCTACATTACCAAATATTGTAAAAGTTGATAAGATAAATTGCTCACAATTGTGCGGTATGACTATAAATGAATCACCTAATTTTTTAAAAAGCCATTCGTAAATTATTTTTACGCCAAGATGATTCTTTTGAAAGTGCTGGCAGCCCTTTTGGTGATACAAGGTAAGTTTCACTCAACGTACATGTTGTCAAGAGTTAAGTATATTTATCTATTCTGAAAATTTTTAAAAATTCCTTGTAGTGATTGATATTTTTAATGGTAATGATCAAAGGACCAATATAGTAATCTTATGTTTATTTTACAATATTCAGTTATGGAAACCCTTGGAGATCATAATATATTCTAAAATATAATTTATTCAAATTAAATTTAAAAAAATATGTAAGATACGACTATGTATACGTTTAAGTAATTCATTAACCACAACTGAACTGTTAAAGTCACTTAATTCTTTTTCCTATGACTGCATATCACAAATTTTGTTAATTACAAAGTTTAATTGTACACTCCACTAATCGAGGAAATCGGAATTGTATCACTATCCTAGTAGTTTACTTTAAGTTTATGATTAGTGACGAAATACTGCTTGTGCCATAAGCAAAGCGGTAATCAGTCTCGTACCAGCACTCTTATGAAACTCACATTCATTATTTTATTTGTATAAATTAATGTATCCTATATATGTATATGCTTAAAAATCTAACAAATTTTTCATTGAACCAGTTATAAAGGTTCATGGACATAGGGCGAAAGAAAGTGATTTTCCATTTTTCGTGTCTGTAAATATGAGATCATCTCACGGCTTCAAGTTTCGGTGTGGCGGTGTACTTGTTAAAGACAACTATGTCCTCACGAGAGCTGCTTGCGTGGTAGATGGTACCAAGGACGACTATCAAGTCGTTGTTGGCACTATTTCAATTAACCCCAACACAAAAAATATGAATGAGCAGCGACCCTCTATCAGCACAATTTTATTCCACAATCGTTTCAATAAAAAGTAAGACATTGATTAACAATCAATCACCCAATTACTAAAAAATCAAGGTTTAACCGGTAATTACAAATATTTTTAGAACTTACGAACATGATTTAGCTATCTTGAAGTTGAAAAACGGAGTAAGACTCAACAAATACGTACGAATCATCGAGTTACCTGAGCCTCACGAAAATCCAAGCAAAGGAAATATGGATCAGTTTGTGGTTGGCTATGAGTATATATTCAGTTATGGACTGCAATATTTCAAAGGTCATGTCATCTTCAATGAATATGAATCAAAGTATTACTTCAATAACGAAGAAGAGGAGGTATAAGCATGAATTACTAAAGTTTGTTGTACAAAAATTTGAGGGAGAAAAATTTATATAAAATTTTTTGTTTCTTAGGCAATTATGTCAGCCGACGTATGTGTTGAAAAAAGTGGAGATGGATACAAGCTAATTGGGTTTGACAATGTAGGAGCCATCTCCCATGTTTCACCAGATGTCAATTGGATTAAAAATAATATCGTGGACAATGCAGTAAAAGCCAATATTCAATCTCATTACCAGTGTTTTAAAAGCTGTTATGAAGAATTTATTAAAACAGCAAATAATTAGGCTTTTGTGACTCCGTTGGAAGATTTTTCAGCCTAACTTATTTTGAAATAAAATTTTTTTTCACATATATACAGTTATCGAGTTGATAAAAATCATAAAATTTTAACTTTGTATACCTCGTGTTTAACGTCAACTTTGATACGGAATGTGCGAAAAAATTGTAAAAAAATATTTACTACGCTTGACATAATGAAAAAGGCTATTAAAACAAATATGTTTATGATGTACGATTCAAGTTCAAACAAATTTGTTTACGACTCTTATGTTATGTATAACTAAGATAAGCGAATCGCGACTGGGCAGTTTAGTAAATAACAATAAAAGAAAGATTAATTAAAATTAGTCATTGAATTTAATTTAATTCCGGTTTTTTCTTGTTTATTGATGTATCTGTAGAAAATGATTTTGTTGTGTGTGCCCTTATATTGCATTCACAAAGCCATACGCCTTTTTTCTTTACACAGCAAGTTAATCTTCTGTTGAAATTTATTCTTATCAATTTTTTTATGAAGCATGGAGTTAACTCGTAATGAAACGACGTAATATTGTGCGCACCAACGACAAGGCTAATATTGATATTATGTACTTGAGTGAGTAAAGCTATTCTCTGGTATTTCTTATTTATGGTAATTTTCCGATGCCGATTCCGCGAATGTGATAAAGATGATTTTTTAGAATTATTAGTTTTAAACTTTTTCTGGATATTGACTATCGCACGTGATGTTTAAGTATGTTGATCCATGCATTACGTATGTCACGTTATTCAGTCATAGTACAACATAAAGCTAAAACCCACTACGTGATTGAATAATAAGATATTTTTGCTGATCTGTCTTAAAACTGTCATTTTACTACAAAATACATCTTTTTGTGCTAATATTAATCTCATGTAGTATTTTAACAAAATTGTGTGAAAAAGTTGTACTTGCAACTTTTATTTACGTTTTATCCTTTAATCTCAAATGAAAAACAAATGAAAATTGTAAACTGCCTTTTAAACAATGAAAACTGAGTATTGTGATAGAGCATTTGACAATAGTTGAAGCTACAACTTTTTGGAATTCTATATTATTTTAAATTAATTTCGAGTGATTTTTATGTAATTTTAATAAATCAATAACTAAATCTTTTTCAAATTAATACATAAGAGAAGATGCTAGTAAGATTCACCATTGACATTTATTCAAAAGCTTTTTACCAAAATCGGTATTTTTATACGATATTGAACATAATTTTAGTATTAAAAAATCACTATCCCATGACTTGTACTTCCTTAGAAAATAAGAAACGACCAGTAAGAATAGACATTTTCATCCAAGACGTCAATGTGACCAATGCAATACACTAAGGCGATTTTACTCACTCCAAGTAGTAAAATCCCTATTTAGTCAGCCAAATCCAAAATAGCCTCCCCGAGCCATTATCCCTCGCAGAATCATTTCCTCTCCAAGTCATTCCTCCGAACAACCTATTATTAAAATCTAACAGACGAATAAACTCGAGTGCGAGCAAGTCGAGTCGACAGCGAGCGGCGAGCGAAAGTTTCGGGAGAAAAGGGAGGAGGCACTCTCGTGCCCTAATCGCCTAGTGGAAGAGCTCGGTTTCTGGTGGACAACTTTCCGCAAACGCTCACGCACGTGTGTGCTCCGCACCTACGCGCGTTGAATTAAATTTAAAGCAAATAATGCAAGTTTAAACGTTCCAGGCACCCACGCGCCCCTCCAAGTATTTGCAGGTGCGTTTCAGCCTCGGACGCCCGTATGTGTTTTTCGCGTTACCCTTTGCGTCGTCGCGCCGCTGGAAATTCTCTTTCTCGCCGGCTCTGCGCAATTACAAGCTGATTTAGGAATTCCCTCGCGTGCACCCAACGACTAATTATGAAAAAATTAGCCCACCGCGCGATGCGAGTTTTATTATTTCTTTCGTTCAGCGTTTTCTAAAGTACGCGCTTTTGCAGGCTTTGTTTGAATAATTCAAACATTTTAATGATAAAAAAATAGGTACACTCCCGTCAAAGGCTCGTCCTCTTTTTAAGGAAAGCATCTGGATGTAAAAATTATGCGGTACATATTTCAGAGCGGAAAAATCTCGTCACGGGACTCGAGAGGAGCCACGCTATACGCTTGACTAGGCGATGAAGCTCGAAACAACAAAAAAAGCGCTCGTATCTCTTTTAGCGAAAAAAGTTGCCCTTTTCAACGCCGGGTCCCGAAAAGAGAGCGAGAAGAAAAAAAAACCAGGGCCAAATAAACTCGCCGCGCCGCCTGACGAAAGGAAGCACAGCAGCGTCCCTTTATGGATTTTTAATGGCCCTCTTCGACCGCCTAAATAGATTTCACGGCGTCGCTAACTTTTCCCACCCCCTGCTTTTATTTTGATTTTTGTCCCACCTCCCTGTACACCCACACTCGCACATGTATGCAGAGCGACACGCTTCGTCGAATTTTCCCATTTACATACTTCTATTTACCGGGCAGTAGCGCCATTTCAGAACGGAGGGGGCAAAAAAAAAGAACGGGCAAATACTAGCCAATTCAACGCTCCGGTGGTGTTGACTCTGAAGCGCGCGTGTATGATGCGAGCGTATAGGGGAGCGGTGGGCAGTTGCCCGAGAGGGACAAAAGCTGCCGCGGCCGAAAGTGTGTTGCCTCTGTGGCACTCGCGTGCATTGGAAAAATGTACCCTCGTATACCTCGGTCTGTTGCCTCTTTCGGCAAATATTAGCGGATGTAGCGTCCATTCGACCAATTTAAAAACACCTGGGCTTTCGGAGTTTGCAAAAAAAGGCAGTACGGCTAAATGGCCGATTTTTTAAGTGACGAAAAAGTCGTGCCTCCGTTGACAAGTGGGGTGGAAATTTGACAACTAAAGGGACAAAAAACGTATAAATAAACGAGCCATGTGTGAACTTATATACACGTTTCGAGAATCTTCTTTACATGTATATGGTTTTTGGGAGTGATTGATGCGTTCAACACTTAATCATTTGTTCAAAAATACAATGCACCTTTATATGACCCTGATTCCGTGGAATTAATTTTCCTCGAATAGTTCCACAATATGGTATGACATGGAAAAGCAAACGTTGTTGGACATGAGAAAAATTTTTTTATCGCCGCATTTATGAATGTTCTCCAAAACTCTCTTTGGGTGGACACGATTAAGCACTACCGTGACCCGTGTATTAAAAAAACCGGATTATACCACCCGACGCGAAATTACGTTTGTCCCTCAAGAGCCGCTCCTCCAAAACAAACTCCCAAGGATCGGCGTGTATGCATTTGTCCGAGACATAAAAAAAAGGCGCGCAGGACACGGGAAAGCGTAAAAAATCCAGAGGAATAATAAAAAAATACTACTGCACAGCAGCACTGGCGCGGTGGCGTCGATAAAAACAAATTAAAATTTTTATTCCTGCACTTCGAGCTCCATTTTTACGAAAAATCGATGCAACGTGGCAACAACAGCGGCAGCGGAGAGATCCTCAAAGCCAGCGGTATTATGGCAGGGGTGCAAAAGTATCGCCCAATGAAAGCCGGAATAAACAACGGCCCGACGAGGAATAAAGAAGCGCTCGGGTGAAAAGGCTGTACGTGTCGCATCGGTGTACACGCGGAAAAGAGAGATAGAAAGAGGGGAGGGACGAAATAAAACTCGCTCACCACGGCGCTCTGGGTCTTTGTACCTTTTTTTTTTTTGTTTTTTTTTGTTTTTTCACATCTCTTCTCTTTGCCGGCTCCTTTCTTCCTCTCTCGCTCGACTCGCTCTGCTTTTTTGTTGTTTCTCGCCTCCACCCCTCTGCCCCCACTTACAAATATCCGAGCGATCCGTTTCCGTGGACGCAGGGATTTATGGGAATCCATGTTTCGGTACTTTAATAAGTCCCTTTGAAGCCCCCAGCCAGACATTCCCAGCCCTTCACGTGCGGTTTGACTCTTGTTTCGACACTCTTCTTTCCGGGTCCAGAGGTTTTAATTGTCTTTGATCTTTTTTTTTTTTTTTTTTCGCAGTTGTTGGCCCTTTTTCGGGTTTAGCTCTGTAGTTACGCTCGTCTTTCGGGCTCGGGTGTGGAGCTGCTTTTTTCACCCAGACGGTCTCTTTCATCTCCTTTTTCCCCCGTAAAATGACAAAGTTGCCGCAATACGATACCCCGTGCCTTCTGTATAAGAACTAACGAGGGAATGTTTAATACATTGTAATAGACTGCGGAGAGAAAAAAAAATTATATTAATCCACTTTAAAAATACAAGTGCCCTCGCTACGCGCGCGGTTGAGATTATTTATTCATCGTTAAATTTCCTCTCTCTCCCGAGCGTACCCAATCCTCGCGGTAATACCTAATCCCTTTTTGGCAAGTGCGTTAAATTCCCCTAGAAAATGCTGCAACAGCCAACCATCGAAAAAAAATGAAACATCCTGGGCTCCTTTGATGTCTTAAATCCAAATCCAAAAAGTTTTAGTCTTTGAAAGACTTTGGAATACTTTAAGGCCATGAAAAGTCTCGGATGACTTGGAATTTCTTCGTTCTAGACATTTCTTAATGCTCACCAAGATTTGTTTGTTATGTAACTCATAGGTACACGTTCAACAATAAAATCACTAAATATCCATGGGCTCAACAATCAACTCACTCGTACGGATGTGCCCGTGGATGCGTAGTACGATAGCGCACAACAGATATTTATGTCAGAGGCACTTGCAAAGGTTACATACACGCACGTGCATGTGAAAAAGAACAGCCGAAGCTCAACTCCGTCGCAGCGCACAAGGGGACAGTTTAGAGCCAAGCTTCTGTCCTCATAGCACGTGCGCTATTCGATCTCGGCAGAAATACGTCCATGCGCAGCCCCTATACTCGTGATACGAGAACGTTACCCCTTGCGCGAATAAATTTACAGCAGTTGTGACCACTACACGCGTATAGGCGAGTGTATACGTGCTTTTGCGTGAGCTGTACGATTTTGTCGAGGGTATGGTTGGTGACCAGCGTTCGCTCTGACGCTTTTTGAGGTATGACCTGAATGGAGCTCTTTTTTTTTAATCATCAATATTGAACGTTGAAACACACAAAAGGAACTGACTTCTTCACTTTCACTGCGCTGAACGAAAATTAAAAAATTAACTTGAAAGGAAAAATGCAAAAAAGTTGGCTTCCGCCGGTCGTCCGCCCACACCCTGACTTGTACTACTGCTGGAAAAAAATCACGTCACATCGACATTGATGTC